CCTTTCCTTTGTTCAAGAGAAAGCAAATTCCACTATGCAACAGCTATTTGCTCATTGATTCAATGTTTCTTCAATTGGGAGAATATAATCAAAGTAGTGTCAACCTTAAATTGTTCCAGAAAATCAAAAAGCTATAAGGGCAACTATTTTTTCTTTGAAAATCAAAAGTTGAGGTTTTCAAAACGAGTCAGTGTTTTTCTCTGTTTACTTGGGGTCTTTGACTTTTTTTCCAACTGTCTGTTTCAATTGTGTTTGCAGCCGTGAAAAATGTCAGATGTAATTCAGTTTGAGCTAGAAAATGTTTCGCATTGAAAAGAGTGACATCTAGATCATCAAGATGATAGAAATTCATATTTTTTGAAACTTTTTATACTACATGTTGATTTTTTTACATTTTGTTTTCTTCGGTTGCCTTAAATGAAGGTTTTGCCATAATTAATTTTTTTTCCAATTCCCATAAATTCAGACAAGAATAGCTGGTTGCTGCGCATATTTATAAAACACTACAAAAAATTGTCCATGGTGTGATAGAAGAACTACACAAACGCTTGGAAAATTAGCCAATTAGTCATGATAGTGAACATTTTGCTCCAGAAAATGAAGAAAGGACAAAAATATTTGTTTAAGAAAGTGTTTAAGGCCAAGAAAGGGCTAAAGGAAGATTTAAATGAAGTTCTCCATTTAGAAAAATCAAGTTTTCTGAGACTAAATGTCCAAGTTAATTGTTTTATTTACCGTACATTACTCGATCGCGTTAGTCGAAATTAGATTAAATATCAAAAATTTCAAATCATTTTTTTTTGACACTGGACAATTTTAATGTCATTCCAATCACGGCCGAAAGGGCTTTAATATGGTAAATCACTCGACCCAATCCGATGATTATTTGTGGTACCTATTTTTGCTTGAAAAAAAAAAAACAAACACACTTGCATACAAAGTTACTCTTTTTCAATGGTCGGCACAAAAAGACTGCATTTGCTGCGCAAATAGCAAAGAAGATTACAACCACCGAAAAAAAAACAGATAAAAGATATGTTTTTATCAAGTTTTTTCAAATGTTTCAAACTGTTTTGATGAAGTTCTAAAACTGTT